ACCTGTTGTTGACTGCCTGCCCATCCTTCTCAGGCATCCTGCTCAGGAGCATGTGTATGGGTAAGGTTTTCTGCACGGAGAGGGGTCAATTAGATGTGTTGCTGTATATATTACAGAGAAGGTGATCCAAGAAAGAAATACATTTTTATTTTAAAGCTGAAGATGATGTGGTTTCTGATGTTCTGCACTTCCCAGGGGAGTTCATTCTGTGCTCGCAGATAAAGCCTCTCTCCTGAACAGATCACTGCTTCCCAAGGAAAAGACTATAAAATCCAGCAGGAAGGCACAGTACCACTCCTAATTCCTAACACTAACAATTGTGCAATTACACATCTAATTCTTTGCTAGACATATTGATCTACTGAAACCTTGCTGTCTGCAGTAATAGAAAATTTAGTCCCTCAGGCTCTGAATGAGGCTAGAACATGAAGTGAAGCTGTCAGAGAGCCTGAGTATTATATTTGATTTAGGGCTCTGCATACATCTGCCGGCAACCTGCATTTATCCAGCTGCCAGTGTAGCTTAAAATATACTCCTGCTCTTACAGAGTTTGGGCCTTACAACCATTTCGCCTTATGGCTTATTATTCCTTAAATTATGGCAGTACACTAAACAAAATCTTAAGTCCATATCTCCAAAAGTTTACAGTCTAATGGCAAATCCATCAAAACATTTAAAGATTAAATTCTTTGGTCTAAATGTCACCCTGAAGGAGCTGTAAACTTGCACACCATAAACCTAATCACGCAATCTCCATTTCTAACTATTAGCCCTGTGTAATATACACAAAAGTGTGATGGAAGATGATACCTTTATTTTGTTCAGTGAAAATAAAAACTACATTCTCTACTAGTGAAAAAAAGCTGAACAAAAAGCCCACTGCAACCTGCTGGTAAGAGTCTATGCAATATTTTGTGCCATATTATTCTTTTTCTCTTGTTCCTATGTTGCTGAAACCAGAAAAGCTGTAGGAGATACAGCTCAGGGCTGATCCAAACCAGTGCAAAGCCTCGCTTTCTTTTTAGTGAGCATTGTTTTAAGAGTTTGATTATTGAGAAAAAAAATTATTCCTAAGTGGAATAACTTTAATTCAGCATGAGTTTGTTTCTTGAAAGAGGGGAATGATTATTTTTAGCAAAATAAATGCCTGTTTCTTAATGTGGTGACTAGAATGACTGAAACCAGAGTATCTTAAGATTGTAATTTTTTTCCCCTGCTTTTAGCTATGGATAAAGGAATATGCTCTGTCTGCTGTGATGCAAAAGCACCTGTCTGAGAAACAAGAGAAGATAATTCAAGGTGTTGTAAGCAGACTAGGATGCCTCAGTGATGAGTAAGCATGGTTTTATCAATAAGCAGTGGGGTAAAACTGCAGTGCTGCATGCAAAGATAAAAATTTGTGTACATTACATTGTGAAAAGCAATGTTGAGGTATTATGAGCATCTTCAGACAGAGAGGCATTTACTCTAGTTCTTTGTCTGAGTATCAAAAACAAATTAAAAAAACAAGAGATGTGACTCCTGGTAAGTAGAAAAAAATAGTGTCCTCTGTGATTTGTCATGGGGTGTGCTTTCTGTGTATCTACTGCTACGTTTGTGAGTGATTTCTAATCTTGAACCAGCCTCTCTTTGCACTCTCTATGTCACACTGAAGTTCGATATTCTTCAAGATAAAATGTTCAGTCCGGCACCATTCAGCTCTGCCTTTTCTTTCTGCTGTTACAATACCAGTGACCATTGCTTTGCATGATAATGACTCTTTGCTTGCATTCTCTGTCTGTATTCACCAAGGAAACTTTTAGTTTTACCTCAGCTTTGTACAGCTAAGCATCTCTTTGATAGAGATACTTCTCAAAAAATCCACAAATCTGTGTTAATCTGCCATTTTTTGATTAAGATATCAAATGACTTCATTTACCATGGTCTTCGCATTACCAAAGATCAAAGCATTTGAAGACTTGTCTATTTGGAATATTGGTATTATTGCCATTGCACTCCTTTATTTTTGCTCTGGTTTTCGGTTCTACCTTACATTTTCATGTTCTCTGACTTCAGTGTTTCCCAGCATTTGGTATCTAGAGAGCTCACACTGCCTTACACATACATGCAAGTTAGATACAGGCACAAAGTCATCTCAAACGTGCACACAGATTTCACTCACCTGGTCCAGAATCAACTTCAAAATTTCCTCTGCTGTTTAAAATTCACCACAAACTTGCTTCAGCCATGTCTGCCCTGCCAGCTAACACTAGCCTCTTCACTGTCTCTTCAGTGTGCCTCCTTGTTAATCCAAGCTATGCTGTCCTGCATTTTCTTGAAAGAACTTTTCTGTAGTTCTGATTACATTCTCATTTCTTATTTTATTTCAAGTCTCCTATTAAAAAAACAATTGTGATATAATTATGGATTATTATCTATTTTCTTCCTATTTTTATTTTAATTTAACTTCAGCATCACAGAACTAGAAGTCTATCACAGCAATACCCATTCTTTACACCTGGGCAGCTTTCCAAGGCATGCTTTGTATGAGAAGACATTACACAGAGTGAATAGTAACTCTTGTCATCTTTAAGCAATGACTTTGCTGAACACAGGTGTGCCAAATCAGCAAGCAGCTTAGCTGATTGCTTTTTAATGGTCCTTTTTACAGGTCTGTTAACTATATATTGCAAAAACACCGACTTCTGCTGTGTTCAGTGCTCAGAAGGTTAACCCTCCGAAGAGTTGGAATGGCAGCCCTGGCCCGCATGAGACTGTCCAGAAAGAAGAGCTTGCTTCAGGAACTGAGAGAGCAACATACCCTGCAGAAGGGATCCTCGCCCTGCCAAGATGAGGACCAGTGGCAGTTACAGAAGGCAGTGGTAGGTACAGTGTCTGGCTGTTTTTTCTCCAGAGGTCTCATATGCTAGGGTGTCTAGCATTAGAAGTAGCCACAGAAGAGCTCAAAAAATAAAATTGGTCAGGTTCCAAATAGAAAGGAAAATATTCTGTCAAAAATCCACCCACTGCTGCCATAGGAGGTCCCCAAGTGTGCCTGTTTTAGTTTGGACAGACATTTTAAATTCCCTAATACTTCATCTACTGGCTAGCTATCTGTGATATGTGTTATCATAGCAATCTTATTTAGCTATTTATTTTATTTGAAAATACTAATGAAAGAAGACATACCAACATGTATAAAGGACTTCTACGCAAGTTACTGCTTCAGGGTAAGATAAACTCCTACTAAATCTGCTAGGGATTGTAATATGCACTTGAAAAGTTCTTACTTGAGCATCAGAAGAAATTCTTCCTTCCACTAGACCTAGCAAGTTCTTCTATACTGTCATCATTTTTCATTCTTTTTTCTTTCTCCTCTGTCCATGAGATGCTCAGCATCCCTTCCCCTGATATCCTTCCAAATAACCTGGGTCCTGTAGGTCAAGGAGATGGGAGAAAGTTTAAGGGATTTTTAGACTTGATATTCCCACAGGTTGCTTTCAAATCTGTTTGTGACTGTGCTTTTTAGGGTTAATCCATTAAGTGTTGTTGGTTATTTACTTATCTGTATTGGACATTTACCTAGAACAACACCAAATTTCAGTTTTCAACCTCAGAGAACCCTCCTATCAGGTGTCAGTGATAGCCCCTGCCCAACCCACTGCTCCTGCACATATGGGTTAAACCCACCCAACACTTTGCAGCTCTGTGCTCCATGCTATCGCTGTATAATTAGCTGAGAGATAATATTTTGTGTCCCTCTAATTCTGATTTGCATAAGATGAACCCTATTTCTCCACTTGGAAGAGGAATAAGGAAATTCTGTCTGCTGCCATTTTCATATTTGATACTTCTATTGAAGTAGTTCCTGTTAAATGTGAAGATCTTAAAATCTCATTAACTTTCAGAAGAAATTAAATATAAAAGAATAAAATATAAATGCATGTGACTGCATTGTGCTTGTTATGTGCTTTCCACTACTCCCTCTCACTTAGCTTCCACAAGGACATTAATTGATACAATCACTGTTTTCCCTAACAAAAATGAGATGCCCCCAGCTATTACTGCTCCTTTGGCCTCTCTCCATTACAGCCTCTTTCCAAGGCCCGCTAAAACCCATCTCACAAGAGGTGCCTAAAAATAAACATGTAAGATCCTTGCTGTGAAAGAAGTAGGGCCTAGGTATGGAATTGTCAGAGAGAAAAAAATATTATTAAGAACTTCCAAAACTAGAACCAGTGTATAAGGAGTTTAGGAAAAGGTTAATTTACAGACGCTCAACCAGAGTTTTAGATATACCATGTTGTTTGAACTAAACTTAATTTTAGCTTGTGCCAATTTTAGACTGGTAGACAGTGTCATGTCTATCTATTGATTTCATATAAAATGTAAAACAAGACTAAAGAATGCTAGCTTGGACATGATAACATGACATTGGGTGTCTTAAAAAAAAAAAAAGAGAAACGGTTTAATGGCATTCCGACTCTCTAAAAAAAACCCATCTAAAACATATATCTGAGCTATAAATAAAGACATGTCAGAATAACCCAGCATTAACAAGGACATCATTATTTTCCACAGATGAATGTGATCAGAGCAGGTTCTTTTTCTACTTGCATTTCTTATTTCCAAGAGAACATCAAATACGTACTGTCAAATCTCCCAGAATAATTTAAAGTTATTTAGCCTTAAATGAGAATATTAATATGAGGGACATAAGCAACTCAATAGAAGGCAGTCTATGGAACAGTAATACACGTAAGGAAGACAGAACAGGTCGTGCTGGTGAGTGTATACTATTGTGTGCTAAAGAGAGTTTAGAGGGAAAGTGGTTTTAAAAAGAAGCATAGAAAATGGTGGCAAGGATGGTCCAAAGACCTCAAGAGACTAGAACTCTTCAGCCTGAAAAAGAGGTGTCTTCTGGAATATCATAAGTTTTAAAACTAACTGGCATAAAATATGTGAGTAGAGAACCATTTTTCACTTGTTTCCAATTTCTTGTTTCTAATAAAAGAAGAAAGCACTGAGCAAAGCTATTAGATGGCAGGTTCAAAATTAAGAAATGTGTGGATAAGCTGTAGAACTCATCACCACGGAATGCTGTAGACACCAAGAGTGCAAATAGTTTCCAAGTGCTATTAAACACATTCGTTACCTCTCACAAGGGCTGTAAGTACCAATATACCAACTTTTTCTCAGGTAGACCGCACAAACTGTACAAGTATTCCAGGTGCGTAACTGTATATTTGCCTTGTTCCTATCCACTTTATCAAGGCATCCACAATTATCCCTTACAGGACTCAGGATATTTGACCTTGATTGTTCATATTTTTAGTAGAAATAAGACCAAATTCAATAGAGCGGAATACAAAGGTAGGAGTACATCACTTGGAAATGACGAATGGTACAGGATGCAGCTGTTATTGTACAGATCATGACAGAGGCAATAGTTCTGTTGCAAAAACAAATGTGTTAAATGACTGGACATAAACTTCCGCTGGAAATTAGCTTATTCTAAGTATTATAACAGCAACATTCTGAATGAGTGTAGGACTTTAAAAGAAAGTGAAGCTGACTAAGTTTGTCAACGTATTTAAATAGCAGTGCTATCTTTTTGTCTGATTACCAGGAGTCCCACATTCTGGAAGAGGAGGAGAAGCTTGAGGAAGAAATGCAGCAAACCCATTTAGAATTTCACCAGCAGCTAGTCACAGAAATCCAAGAAGCTCTTCAGTTTCTTCAGCAGCACATGGAGCAGGTGATTGGGCAGACACTGCTGCAGCATGCCCGACGGAAAGCTGGAAAAAAGAATTCAGATGAAGGACAGGACTTCAAGGTATGGAAATGTTCAGTAGCAGTTTTCCGAACAAAATGAGTGCTACTTTGCCAAAATGGAAGGCAATTTCATTTATGCATTACCTTATGCCTAGAAGTATCAGCAAGAAACCATTACAACCTGTGTTAAAACTGAAGATACTTTGCAAAGTATTTACAAACTAACACTTACGTGGAAGTACAGTATTTTCTAGTGACTTGCTATAACAGCCAAAACAGATTTTAGTAAGCCAAGCCCTGGAACGTAAAAAAAAAATTGAGAGAGTTCTTGATGACAGAGAATAACAAAAATGAGGAAGAAATTGAGATGGTTATCTATGGATGAAGGTTTTATGGTTAATTAATACTATTTGTATATTAACAGCTTAAGATTAATTCATAGATAAATAATTAAATAAAAATAAAATTTGCTTGATAGGTTAATAAAATTTTTCCAAAGTAAACATTTGGATTTTCTGTATAATGGAAAGTTGTAGTAGAGCTTCACCTATACTGATTTACTTCGCTGGCAGTCGGGTGGACAGGTAAAACGAGCCATCGAGATTGAACAGATAGGTGTATGACCCCTTCCCAGATGGAGGTGAGACACATTAGAAAGATTTTATTGGACTTTTTCACGTTGAAATGTTCCATGGATTAATAGAAATACCTGTTTTCCAGCATCTCAGTCTGCCACATTTTTAAAACACAAAATTCACAATTTTGTGTGCACATACAAAATTAGATTGGGTGTTCCATTTTAGACAGATTAAAACACTTCAGTTTTGGACTTAGAAAATGAATTGTGACTTGTGCTGTGTAACACAGGAGAAACTGGTGGAAGCTGCAGTAGAAAGTGTGTATGGGACCAGCAATAATATCAATAGACTGGTGCAAAACTACTATCAGCAATTAGGAAAAATCACAGAAGGCTATGAAGGGAAAAAGCATGAACAATTGAAATCCTTACAAGGTACGTATGATATTGACAACTATAAGTTAATACTGTTTTTTTAACAGATAAATTGATTTTCTTATCACTATAAAGATTGCTTTTAAAGATAACATAAATCTGTTATTTAAAGTAAGCAACAAAGCAAAATGAATGTGTAGGTCCATTTCCATCTGTGAAGGAGAAGTGGTAGAACTGTTATTGTTAATAATTACTTGAATTACAGTCATAGATGCAGAACCCTGTTACTCTAAGTTTGATACAGACACACACAGAACAATGACCCAGTGCTGGAGATTATAGTTTAACCATGAACTGTGGTTCACCGAGCTAAGATCAGAGATACCACTATAGTCAGAACCACCAGCAACTGATTTTCTGGTGCTCTAAACCTCAACATAAGGCAGAGGAATTTAGAAAGCAAAGAGTTGTACAAGTATTAGGTTGTACAGCCAATGTCTACCATAAACACTGTTTGACTTTGCATATTAATATATGCAAATAAAATGAATCAATGAATCAAATACTCATAGGGAGAGAGAGAGGGTATATGACAGGCACCAACAAGCTGAATCTTCTGTCTAGAAGGGAGATCTGAGTTTGCAGTCCCTGCTCACATGTTAGAAGACATAAACATCATTGGCAGACAGTCCGCTTCCTCTGAGGTGACTGCCCTCAGCTTTGGGGGCTAGGTTCTTATATTCATTCCTTTTTTTGGCTCAGTGAAATGTTGTTGTCTCTGAAGTTGAGGAAGTACATTAGAGGAGACACCAAAAAGCCAAGCGTGCCCATCCTGGAACGCTCTGTGAGCTGCTGCATTGTTTCTTAGCTGTCAACCATGACACTCTCACGGGTTGTAAAACTGCTGAAGAGGTTTATGAACGGTTGGATCTCACATAAAATCAGGCAGTTTCTCCTGGAATTATTTTGAATTGCTCAGTTCCTTCAGGACAGGAGAACAAAAGCAAGCTCTGATTATTGATTTATTTTTTAAATCCTTTCCTCTCCCCTAGATGAAGCCTGTTGGCATTAAATGAAGTTAGCAAGTTAGCAAAACGGCAATAACATCAGAGGCTAAGTATTGGAAACACATGGAATGGATTGTTTTTTCAAAAAAAAGAGTTAGCAGTGTTAAATAGAGAAGATTCTTTAACCACGGAAGAGAGGTTTTGAAGAGGAACAAGCATATCCACTGAAGGCAGAGATCCAGAGATGAGTTGGTAGGAAAGATTTGTGACACCCAGTAGTAGCTAGATACGCTCGCTCGTTATAAGACAGAACCAATCTGTTCTGCAGTGCCCTGTTGTGAACCTTGAAGACTTTTCATATTGGAAGCTGAAGTGCTAGGGTAAGGCGAAATCTGTGTGAGGATTTTTGACAATCTGTATTTTAGACATTGGCAGCTAGCAGGGCAGTCAGTTACGTAAGTTCTCACAAAGTCCCTCTAAAGACCTCTTCGTCCCTGATTGAGCCAACTACAGCATCTAAAATCCCTTTGATTTGAGTCCGTTTAAGCAGGATCTAAAACTGAAGCCTGTTCCAGAATGATCCTCTGAGCTGAGCGAAGACGGATGTCATTGCACACTTGAATGTTCTGCTTCATCAGTGTTTTGATACTGCTCTCAACTGGTCTCCCAGTTAGGTGGCAAGAGCTAAAATACCAGTCATGAGAACCACAGTCAGCCTTCTGGTGGTTGCTCATTTAGATTATTTTTTCTTCTAGAGTTAGTGTTGATGTATTATTGTTTCAGTGTATTTGAGTTCCATGAACTTCAAGGAAGAAAATTACATGTGTAAATGGAGCACATTTTCGTTTCAACTGAAAAAAAAAATCCTTCTGCTGCAATGTAAGCCCACAGGCATGAGGGAGGATGAGAGTATTTTTGTTGGTAATAAAAGCAGGAGTGTTTTGGATTTGGGTGGCCAGAAACACAGCTGAAATTCACAGATCAAATGAACTGCTACAGTGAAAAAATTTTGCAAACCTACATGTGCATGCTGCAGCCCGGCTGAGATTTTCAGTATCACCAGATAACTACTTCAGCTTTGTTGGTGCTTTTTATATTAGGAGTGAGCACTACCATCTGATAAGGGACTTCGATGCTTTAGTGCACGTAACTCCTTCTTTAACCTAAATCTAAATTTGCAATGCACAGCCTCACTCCTTTTTCATTTCAGCTGCTGCCTTGGCCCCAGAAGCACTTAAATTTCTCTCTGTGATTCTTAACAGCCTGGAGCTCTGCTCAGGGGCACAGCCAGGACCCCCTAAGCCCTGCCAGCCAGCCAACTGCTTTCCATCCAAGCTCAGCCAGGAGGCAGAACATCCATGTTTCTTCCTTTTCAGAAGGAGCTGATCTGTTAGGTGGTCTCCAAGCATGATTACCACACTGACAGTGTGATCTTCCTCACCAAATACTCTCATAACTTCTCTCTCTAAAGCACAGGATGGAAAAACAATGTTGGCAATAGAGCCACCTGGTATGTGATAGCCCTGGGGTTAGAATGGCCACATAGGAAATTTCCTATGTACTTCATTCAGTGATAGCTAAATGGGAGTACGGACCATAATGTCGGGCTTCTCTCCCAGTGATTGTGCTTAATGTCAGGCGAGAGGATTTTGCTTCTTTGGGTATCCATTGGCCTAGTAAATCTGAATTCACAGTCTGTCTGGCACAGCCACAGGAAAGTAGGTGGAGAGTACCTCTCCTTGCCCAGCCCAGCTCGGTCCAGCCTAGAGTACATTCAGTAACTCCTCCCTGATGGCCTATCAGCCTCTCTGAGTGTTCAGAAAAGGTCAGGTGCTCTCCAAATGAATGTTATGTACTCTAGTCTGTTACGGACCCATCCATCTCCCTCCTTCTGTGTTTTATTTAAAAGCAGTGGTGCAAGGAAACCGATACTATCTGTCAGACATGCCCCAAGCCTTGCTGCCAGACAGGACTTCAGGGGCAAGAGTCAGGAGACTGGTCAGCAGATAAACACCAAGTTACTTGCAGAGTGTGAGCATACACAGAAGTACCCAGAATACTTTGCCATCAAACAATGGGACATCTAGTGAAGTTAGGCATTACCAGGACTAAGTGGCCTCTGAGCGGAGGTTTTCTTTATATTGCATTTTTCGTTGAGGTATTACAGTTCTTGCTTAAAGCATCAAGGTCTTTTCATAAAATTTCTGCTTCAAATTCCATGTTAATCAGTTATCCTAGTGGGAGAGGTAGATATGAGTAGGAATTCGGTGACATTACCATCTCAGCTAAATCATGCATAAACTATTGTCTGTGGAACAGATCACAGTGGCAGAGCAAGAGCGTGTAAGAAGTATGTGACAACCCTAAGGAGCGGTAACTTTGAAAAGACTACCTAGAACAGGGATTAATTTGTGCTGATGTAAAACATAAATTGTAAGGTTGCTACAACTCAGAGTTTGTAATTTCCTAGAAGATTTTACAAAAGCATTATTTCAGCAGAAAGAGGTGAAAGAAATAGACTTAAGAAGAAACAAGAGAATGAACTGGCGTTGAAAGAGAAACAGACCAAAGGCCTCCTCAACGTATCATCCACAGTCCATCAAAGGTAAGAGCAGGCAGCAGCACTGCTGACTCTGTTTGAATGTTGTGTTTGCAGATCTGTGTAAATGTCTAGCTGAATAAATGTCTTGGGTTTGTGTTTTATATTTGTCTGTGATGGAAAAGGAATGTCTGTTGCCAAATTATGTCTACCCTTTGATCTCAGAGAATTACTTTCTTATTAAATAAACTTTTTGATGCTTATTAATTACAGACTGAAGAACTATACATACATAATTTGAAAAGAGAGAATGAAAAACAATGCCAACACATTTGCCAAATTTTGAAAGAAATTTAACATAAGTGTAGCATGGGAACTGGTGCTGTGTAATTCATTACATTCCAACCTTTCTGCTTTGAACATCAAAAGTGTTTGTTAGTTTGCTGTTGAGTAAACATATACCATAATGAAGAGAAAATATTGGAAGCATAAATAATGCTCAAAATGGCAAGAAGATTTCAGTGAATGCCTTGGACGATCAAGATTACTTGCACTAAATTTAGAGTGGAATCCCTCAAATGTTAATTAAATAAAAACCATATTTAATTCATTACTGTTTTTATGAAACTTAGAGTCCAGACAAAAAGCATTGCAATTCCAAAGGAATAAGTTGTCATAAAAAGCTGTGTGACTTGGCATGCAAATGATACACTTTTGTAATTATTTTATTTCTTTACTCTTGGTTTATTATCCAGAACAACACAGCATCTGCAATTCTGACATTGTAAAGAGGTTAATTCTTTTTTTAGACATTCTGTTACTTCTAAATTGAAAGAAATCATTGCCCAATTTCTGTTTTTCATCCTTGTTTGAATTAGTATAGAAATGGATTCATGCAATAAAGGGCTTCAGAAAAGTTCTGTTAGTTATTCATTATCAAATTTATAGTTTATTCTGGCATATAAATTCACTTCTAGCTGTTGTCTCAATTTTTTCTCCCATAATGTATTCTAGTGTCTTAAAACAAAATACAATCAAATTGGCCTTTATGCAAGCAGAAATATGGTATTGAAGAATGTAGCTATTCATTATCTAAGCTGGTCTCATAACCATTAGTAATCAAACTCATTTTGCTATTGTCATAGTGATTTCTTTTACAGTCAAATCCCAGTCCTGTGTAAATTAATTACAACATTTCCATTAATTTGTCTAACTCCTGTTAAACTCAACATAGATTGTTTTATTTCCTTTTGCTGTTGGTGCAACGTTAAGAGTGCAAGTTCAAAAAGCAAATTTTGAAAGCTAACCTTTTGTAAGCATTGGCCATTACAATAGCAACTTCGTTATGTGTAGATGTCAGAAACAATTTGTGTTATCTCCTTCCTTGAGTAATGTGATGGGTGATTGACAGCATTGCTTCAAGGTAGATCAGGCAAGAAATACAGATTCAGCAAAGTTGCAGCCATTCAGGTTCTACTATATTAATATTAATCTTTAACCAGCAAAATAAAACAAGCAAAGATTGTAGTTGTCAGTGCTCCCAATTGCCAAGTTTTGAATTACCATGTTTCTGGCTCAGTCTCGATCTGGTACTGAAGAGCCCGGAATGAAATGCCTAATTCTTAATCCCTTATCCTCACACCTGATCTTCTAACAGCTTGTCTCTTTGGCAAGCAGACAGTAAAGCTGACTTTAGAAACATACAATGGTTTTGAAAGCAGACTTCAACATTAGAGCTGAACTCCAGCTCCCAAAGTTCAAGCACGGACAACTCAAACTCCTGCTGCAATTCCTACCTCCGAAAGGAGCTTAGATCCCATGGAGAGCCAAGGTGGGTTATTAAAATGAGTAAATCTATCTGAAAATCTGAATGGTTTGATACTGTTAATGAGCCCTTCTCTCGGCAAAATCTTCTGAATATTCATTGCCAGGATTGTATTCCTCCCTTGAACTGAACAACATTGGTACTTTTAAATTTCTCTTGACCAGGATGGTGCTGCAGCAAAAGAAGGTTTTGGCTCAGTTTGAACTGCAGCAGCAAATTCGTCTGGAGTCTCTTAAACAGAAGCTGCTGGGATTGCATCACCTAGAAACTGAGCTGGAGAATCAGCTAAGGGTAAATCCGGGTAAAATGACTCACAGATCTGAAGCAGTCCATGGCAAAACGTCAAACAGGTTGTAAGGGTCTCTTTGCTGTCCTAGTTGAAATCAGTGTCAAGATTCATCATTGTCTTGCAGGAAGTGCTCCTCTCATGCTAGCCATATTGTTTCTTGTGTTTCTTCAATGACATATGCCTTTTTTGTCATGCCACATGTAGAATAATATAACCCAGAATGAAGCTGTGTTGTAGTAACTGACTTCTGGTTTATCCTTGTGTGCAGGAAGCAGAGCAGGACTTTCTGACTGAGTTGGCTCTGCTGGCCCGAGTTCCAGTGGCTGTGAAGAAGAAGCCTTCCAAAAGGAGCAAGCCAGCAGGTTGGTGCAATCCTGAAGTGTTTAAAAAAACCTGTATCATTCCACGTATCAGTCGTGTTTTGCATTATAACACAATGGAGTCTCAGGAGAGATTTTTCATCAGTGCCATTTCCCTAATTGGGATGTAGAAAAGTAAGGCAACCTTCCAAGATCACCCTGCTTGCCAGTAGCACAGCCATGAGTAAGTGTCACCATTCCTCATTCCAGAGCAGTCCTTTAGCCAATAGATCGCATTGTGTCCTCTGAGGTAAGGCTTTTCCTTGCTCATATTTTTCATGTCTTTATCGTGTTCTTTAGAAACAACGCTGTTCACCGCAATCACTAAGTCTTTGGGAGGGCAACAGAGCTGAATTGCCCAGCTTTCTCTCTCCTGGTAGAATGGAAGAATCACCTTCCCACACACATGCTTAAAAGTAAAATCTTACTGATTCAGGAAACTTGAAATACTTATATGAATTTACTGCAGTTTTAAGAAATTAGGCTATCTCATTATTCAAGAGATACTTGGGGACAAATTGTCAGAATAGCAGTTGTGTTTCCTGATCCACATTTGGGGTAGAGCATACAAATTCTCATCCTTTGAGCCATGCAATCCTTCTGTCATTATCAGAATGAAAAATTTGGCATTACACTTGAAAGACGCTGAAAGGTGAGATGGGTGCCCAAAAGGGAAAAGCAGCTCACTCACCTGGACAGTTTTGAAGTTTCTCTCCCCAGTTGGTTGTTTCTCAAGTGTGCAGAGCTGTTTGCTCTGGTAGGCACTGTGACCCCAGGGACACATGGAAGCATAGCTCAGGGCCCTAAAAACAGTGACTTTTTAACATCAGATTGTTCTGATTCCAATCACATAAAATTAGGAATTGGCTTTTCTTCTGTTTGCTGGTAGTAAAAAGCCGTTTTCAGTTACTTGCTAAGAAAATATATGATGGGGCTTTCAACTGTTGCGCCTCATGGAAATTTACTTCAGTGTTCAGCAAGTGTGAAAGTTCAAGGTCTGCTCTGTGAGAACTAACTGATGGTAAAAATCCAATGTGCTAGACTAGTGCAAAAAGTGGAATTATTCTTTGGAATAATAACATGTATGTATGAAGTGTTGGAGTGTAGTTTTTTTCTTTAGGTTAATCAAACCAAACAAGCTCTACTATATGTGATTCTTTTTTTTTTTAAATCCACATGCATTTGGCAATTCAGGGGAAAAAACAAACTCAAAAAGGAAGACCTTTCAGTCACCAGAATCAGCAGACAAAGATGATTCTCATGAAAATATTCAAGAGCCCCCTGGCCTGACTCCTGGCTTATGCAGGTACAGTAGAGGCTAAAAAAATGGTATGTGAAAAACTATTTGTAAAAAAGCAGTACAAAGTCTACTTCGTAAGCGGGTATGTCAGTCAAACCCACAATATAATGCATGCACTAGCTGAGCTTCTTCCTTAAGAGTTACTTCTCACATGTACTTGACCTTTTTTTTCCCCATATTCTTTTTTAAATTTAGGAAAATCATCTGAGTTTGCTTGTCTGTGCTGCTATTTATTTTATAAATAACTTTGCTTTTAAGTAGAGAAATGAGAAATACCGTTTGCAAATTTCCTTTAATTAGGTTTTTTGAAACCTGAGTCACAGACGGCATAAATCAGCAGAGGCAAGTGAATCCAATGGAACTGGGCTGACGTGTAGCAACCAAAATATGGTCTGTGGTATTTAGGCTTTCAACTTCCACCTTTATTTCAGGAACAAAGGCAAGCGCCAGTCTTTGGCTGATGAGGGTAGCAGCTCTAACAATGATTTTCTTGATAGATGTTTCAGTTGGCTTATGCTGGGGTGCTAACTAGAGGAGAAGAAATGGCTACAAACCTGAAAGATGCCAGCTGATTACTACGGGCAGGTCAAACCAGCCAGCTGGTCGCTGGGGCTTGATATATTGAGCAGAGAAAATCCTGTTGACAGGCAAAGCAAACAGTTGGTTCTCAGGAGCCACAGGCCTTTGGGGAAAAGTATGTATCCCCTGAGTGACCTCAGCCTGGGACTGACTTCAGGAGATGGCTCCTTTCCCTGATGGCATCAGCCCTTTTCACACACTCCTTTCCCACAGCCAACAAGGGATACATGGGTAGGGAACAGGGACCCAACAAAGGAACATTTATCTTTATGCAACTTTGTTTTGGCAGCCTCCACAGAGGCAGCTGAAACCAGCAAGTGCAGAAGTTATATAGCAAGTGCCTTTCTTCTCTTATCAAAATTGGTTTAGTTTAAGAGAGAATTGTACCATTTTAAAAACTCTGTCTACAATCTTCATGTTTCTTGTTTAATTCTTTCAGAGAGAAGTTACAGAGCCCACATCAAGGGGAGTCTGAACCAAGGAAAAACTCAAAGATGCTAAAAAAAAGAGGCAACAGGTAGTAAAAGCATTTATATGAGCTGTCTGACCCCAGAGTACCAAAGCGTTCTACCGGGGAATCTCAGCAGCTATAAATACTTACTGAGCTGCTTTACTGAGAAACAATTAAGAACATCAATAATAACCAAGAAATCTTTAGCTACAGACCAAGAATCAATCCTGACTTCCTTTAGCTGTTAATAAAGCATTCCCGGCTGGTTTTGGTAAGGGGGAACAAGGAAGTCTTTAATATAAGCTCTTTCAGATCCCTTGGGGAATGTGGACGGGAGATAGTTTTCGTTTAGGAATATACCTGAGGAAAGTGCACTTGTAGAACAGATCTACACTAGGCTGGTTGCCCAGGTCAGTGTATGTATGTCAGTAAGGTTTCCTTACAATAGTGATGAGCCCTAAATGTGGTAGATCTAGTCTTAGTATTTTGTGATTGCTGCATTGGGCTAACAGAAATAGATAGAAATGTAAAGAATATGTAAACAGACTTCAGATGGTATTGGTATATCAAAAGATTACATTTGGTCTCTCTTTTGTTATATTTTAGTGCTTCCAAGGCTATGTATGCTTTTTAAAATTTGTACAAAGATTTTTATAAATGTATGTCTCTGTGTTTGCTTCAGATTTCAAAGTAGTATTTTTAGGAAGAATGAGACAAAACCAGTTTACTATTTTGTTCTTTATACTTCAGTTTCTAGTCTTCTTCCTTAAGTATACTCTTTTGTTTCCAACATACTTTGTTACGCTTATTATGTTTCCTATGGGAATTCCTCTTGTTATGCAAAGCAGCTAGTTCTTGCTGGCTGTACAGAGCACCTGTATTGTGTAATAAATTGCCCCACTAAAGCAATCTTACAGCTTTCATGAAATGAAAATTTTCTGCCTTTTTAAAAAGAACATACATTTTGCTAACAAAAAGGCTGTCCTTTGGTGCATGATGGAAAATACTGCATCAGTTATGCAGTTTACTTCAGACAAAAGTGCTGCCACACAAATGACTTTACCAGGCATGTTACACACAATTGTTAAATGGTTAATTTTCACCTCAGTTTTTCTAAATCGTACCACTTCAAGCATTTGATTCTGGTATTTCAGTACTTGGGCTTTATGGTCTCTCTCTGCCTTCCTGATCTGGACGTTTTAGTTGCTGCTTTTTTTTTAAACGGATGCAGCCTATTTACCTCTGTTTGAACATCTTGAATTCTGCAACGTGCTCCATATAGATGGTAAGAAGGAAGATTTTAATAATTAGAGTTGATGATGGTTTAAACCACGCAGCGCGGAAGGGGCTCCCGTCACA